AAAAAAAAAAAAAAAAAAAAGATCCCCAGCTGGCGGCGAGGCGCGGCGGGCAGGTAAGGTGCGGCCGCACGGGTCCGCGCTCCTGGAGCCGCGTCGCGCCCGCTCCGAAGAGCTGCGCCCGCGCCGCCGCGTGTGCGTGTGTCCGTCCGCGCGTCTCTTCGGCTTTGTCTGTCGGGTCCATGTCTGTCTGGGTGTCTTTGTTTCTGAGGGTGCGTGTCAGGGTCTAACCCTCCGCTGCCACCGTGGGTGCTTCCATTCTGGCTCCAGCCCCGAGGGGAGGCTGGGGCGTCTGTCAGTCCGTCTTTGTCTCTGTCTCTGGCAGGCAGGGTTTATCCACTCCCAGCCCCGAATCCCATCTTCTGGACCTGAGTGCTGAGTGACACTGTTGTCGTAGGTGAGGAGTTGAGGGGCCCAGACCTCCGGAGGGAGCTCGGTCAGACAGTCAGAGACCGGCCACTGAACTTAATGGCCTGGAACTTTGGAGATGGGCTGGGACCGCGCGGGCCGCTTGGACCTGGGTAGAGGCTTGGCATGCTTCCCTGAAGGAGTAAGTCACATGGAGATGAGGTCGACCTAAAGCAAGAAGATGAGCCAGGGTGTCCTGGGGACCTCCTCAAGCTGTAGGTCTCCAGGGTCAGTTCTGTATGAAACTCCGGGACATCTTTCCCTCATCCGCAAAGGCAGCCAGGCCCCCTCCCTCCTGGCACTGGCTTAACTCCCTGTCGCACAACTGGGCAGCAACAGGCATCAAAACTCCAAGGGCCAGGGCTGTTTCTCTTTCCTGCTCCAAGTGGAAAGGCTTGAATGGTGGAGTCTATGAGTGTTCTTTGCTCGCCCACGAGCGCCGGGCCTTGGAAAGTATTGCAGACCTGATGGCCTCAGACTCCCCAGTTTCCCAGGATTAAGAGATGCATAGAGCTTGGAGCCCCAACCCGTTCCCCCTCTTCCTAGTCTCCCGGAGCTGGCAAGATAGTGGGAAGGCATCAAGTTCTTCTGGACAGCAGACTGCTCCAGATAAGAGTGTTCATGGACTGGAAGGGCAGCCCACTACTTATGAGAGCCCCTGCAGGCACCCAGCCAGAGATGAGCTGCCGGTTTGGCAGTCCTTCCTGTGCTTGGAGTAAGAGCTGGAGAGGGTTTGTAACCGGAGCTTCCTCTGAAGTTCAAAAACAATTTTCTGCAGGCACGTGGAGGGAAAATGGAGGTGTTTGAAGGATGTGTGCCTAGGAGTATTAGAGCTAGCCTTTGCAGACCGGAAGTGTTTTGTGTTCCAGGCTGGAGAAGCCTGTGGGCAGGAGTCCGTGGGCAGAGCAGGCACACTAATCAGGCGTGGCCCTGCACCTTGTATTTATCCAGCGCCTTTCTTCTGGGCTGGTTCTGCGCATCATAGACGTTATCTCATTTGTTATCTCCTTTGTCCTGACAGCATAACTACCAGGTTGGCATGAGCCACATTTACTTTCTGTGTCTTTAGTGGAGGAGTGGAGACAGCAGAAAAGAAGGGTGTTCCCAGAGGGCCCAGAGCTTAAATTGGAGTGAAATCAGGTGGGGAGTTCCAGAAAGAGGGCTAGGCGGAGTACAAAGAAGTGTGAAGTGCTTATCCTGCTGCAGGTGAGGGAAAGAACAAAATAAAGCAAAACAAAAAACACAAGAAGGAAGCCAGCCTGTAGGGCAAAGAGGGGAGACCAGACATCTGCTCTTGATCAGGGAGGTTAGTTAACGTTTACAGCAGTTGCTGTGCGCTTGGTGAGGTAAGCCACTAAAACACTGGCTCTTGTGCACTCTGGTGTCTGTAGGCGGTGCCCTGTCTGTCTGTGTGGCTTAGTAGATGGTGGCAGGGGCTGTGGGTTGCTGGGTTGCTGGGGGGGGGTGTGTGCCAGTGCTTTGCAGGTGGGTAGTGGTAAGATTTACCATGTACTGTCAAGAAGCCAAGGGTCTACATGTTGGTTGAAGAGACAGATGGGTTCCGGATAAAAATGGCTTTCAAATCCTGAGAACTTATCGATATGTTTTGGCACTTACTCAACATTCATTCAAGGGCTGGGGAGGCAGCTCAGCAGTCTAAGTGCCTCCCTGGCAAGTACAAGGACTTGAGTTTGATATGAGGTACTGCATGCTGTGCCAGCCCCAGAACCCTGGGCTTGCCATGCCAGCCACTGAAGCTGGGCATGGTGGCACACACCAGTAATCTCAGTGCTGGGGAGGCTGAGACAGGATCACTGTGAGTCCAAATAAACGACATTTTTAAATTTTTTTTTTTTTTGGTACCAGGGATTGAACTCATGGCCTTGTGCTTGCTAGGCAGGCGCTTAAACCACTGACCTATTTCCCCACCCAAAATTTTTTTAAAAAATCATTCAATACATTTTCATTGGTGTCTACAAAAATACCAGGCTCTGGGATAAGCAGTGAGGCTACCGAGCTGACTAAGGCAATGATGAAGAACCTGTGGCAAGCAGCTTGTAGACAGTGTGACGGATAATATTTAATGAGATTTAATGCTATCCAGTTAGTACACAGAGTGCCTAGTACTTTTATTCATTATCTCCTTTAATTTTCATTGCAGCCCAGTAGGCCATGTATGATTATCAAAGAGAATTAAGTAAGTTAGGCTGAATGATAGAGGGGCAGGGATTTGAACTTGGGAACCTAAGATTTCAGACCATGGTTCCTTCCAGATTTTCCTGCTACCACTGAGCATAGAAACACATTATTCCTCCTGTGTAGACTATTCTTTTTTATTTTTTATTTTGTTTGTTTGTTTTTGGTGGAATCGGGGACTGAACTCTGGTACTTGCGCTTGCCAGGCAAGCGCTTATTCTACTGAGCCATCTCCCTGACCCCTTGACCTTCCCCACTGCAGCCCCCATAGGCCTGTTTGGTTATAAACATGGAGATCGATTCCCTGCTTCCTCCATCCTTTCCTTAGTAGCATTCAGGTACCTTCCCCTAAGTTCCTGCTGCCATCCTGCCCTGTCACCCACTTCTCATGAGCTGCAGAATGCCTAGAGGTGAGATGATGCCCTGAATTCCCAGCACAATACAGCATGTGGCTAACCTGAGCAGGCCTGCGTGATGGGGACAAAGAGGGCTGCTCCAGACCCTTGGGTGTCAGCACAGTTCCCAGTGCAACTTCCAACTGGGCACACAGTCCCCATGTGACCTCTCACTTCCTGTCCTCTCTCCTAGGCCCTCTGCTGAAACAGGGCTGGGCCCAGAGCAGCCCCCACCCGTTCTGGCCCTCCCTCTCCAGTGAGTCTGCCCACCCACCAGCGCAGTCACTCAAGGGAAGGTGCTAGACGAGATTTAGACCTGGGGTTTTTAATTGTGTGCTCAGAACCTCAGGGGCAGATGGTGGCAGGGCAGAGATGAGGTGTTTCTGGGGTTTTGCCAATGAAGAAGTAGCCAACTGCTTGGGGGAAGCTGGGCAATTTACATCTCTGCTTTTTGAGGTTGCTTTTGAATGGATCTTTGTGCATTGCAGTTTGGCTGTAGGGCTGCTTGAGGAGCTGAGCTGCTACCATGTTCGGCAGGGGGTGTAGCCCAGACTCCTCCAGGGCCACACGCTCTGGTGGCTCTCTTCTCTTGCGTTGCCTCCTCTCAGCATCTCCCACCCTGCAGTGGTCACAGGTGCTCTCAGGGGTCCGTGATGATTGTCATTTTCCTTTCAGAGATCATTACTCACTTGTGAAAAGCCCTGCACTTCACAGTCCGTCAAGGACCTTCTCCGTGTGGGGTGTCAGGGAGATGGGTGATTTTTACAAAAAGCTGAACAATGCTAAGGCCAAAATTTGTGATGCTAATTGGGAAAGAAGAAGCACTCATGAATCAGTGAGGAGTCTCTTGTCACACTGACTGTGGATGAGACTCTGGGTGAGATGCCTGCCCAGCAAGGAAGGTAGGTGGTGGGTTGGTTTCATGCTGGTTCTGGAAGTGTAGAGTGGGTGGAGCAAACGCCTCAGGCAGGCTCTGAAGATGCCAGTGAGAGCTGAGAGGATGGGCCTTTCTCTTCTAAGGGAGCCCTAGGAAGAGTCTGTCACCTTCCGTCACAGGAGCTGGTGAATGACAAGTGGGAGGTGACACACCTGTCACCACTGTGGTGCCCAGCCCAGCCCAGCCAGCCCAGCCAGCCCAGCCCAGCCCAGCCCAGCCCAGCCCAGCCCAGCATGTGCATGCAGACTGCACCATAGGGCTCCCCCTCCTCAGAGTCTCTGTAGTAGAGCTCAGGTTTGGCCAGGCTGGGCTCACAGGCTGTTTCGCAAGGCCAATATATTTTAGTTGTGAGGCTGGGCTCAAACTGGTGATCTTCTTGCCTCAGCCTCACTAAGTGCTGGGATTACAAGCATTCACCGCGAGGCAGGCTAGCTGGAATGTTTTTAATGGCCCTTTTCTTTTTAAAATATTTATTTAATGGCCGTTTTCATTTGCACAAGACTTTCCACATTAAAGGGGACTTATTATGGTGATTAACACCTCACAGTGACTGTGAGAAGACTTACCATTTGGCAGATGAGTTTGGTGAGGCCCACCTGTAATCCCAGCACTCAGGAGGTTGGAACAGGAGGATCCTTACAAATTTGGGACCAGCATGGGCTACAAAGTGAGCTCAAGGTTAGCCTGAACTGTACACAGTGAGGCCCTGTTTCAAAAAGACAGAAAGAAGGCCCAGCCAGATAGCACAGTGGATTAAAGCACCTGTTTAGGCAGAAGGAGGGACTAGGATTGGATCCCCCAATGTGCTTTGCTGGCCCCACTCCTGGGGGATGCTGTCACATGCCTGTAATCCCAGTGCTTGGGAGGCTGCAAACAGGAAGATCACTACAAGTCTGATCTACATAGTGAGACCCTGTGGACCCTGTACTAAATACATTTTTTTTTTTTTTTTTGCGGAACTGGGGATTGAACTCAGGCCCTTGTGCTTGCCAGGGAAGCACTTATTCTACTGAGCCATCTCCGTGGCCCCCTAAATACATTTTTTAAAAAAGGGTTTGTTAGTTTTTTTGTTTAAAGACAGAAACCTATTAGAGATGAGGCATTCACCAATATTTTCATA